CCCCCCCCCCTCTACCGCTGTCTCCCCCCCTCGTCCGATACTCGGCGCGCCTCTCCCTCAAGCTCGGCGTTAACCCTCCGACGTTTCGGGGCGCTATGGTATACGCGACGGCGGAATGAAAATGATCCAACGCAATTAGGCCGTGCAACCGAACGCTGAACGGTGCCTCGTGCGAGCGAGCTCCAAGATATACACGTGTCTACGCGAGCAAGCGACACACGCAGTCCCACTCTGCTGTCTGGAGAGAGATGGATTGGCAATACGAGCGAAACCTGATGTTCTCTCGCGCGTTTTTCACGTTTTGTGCGCGCGAAGGGATCGGGAAAAAATGGTGTCTCTCGCCGCGAGCAGTATTTTTACTTTACCCCGCAATCGCACCTAACTTTGCGGAGTCCGCGAGGAGAAATCGATACAAAGTTTCAATGTCGATTGTATATTTTACGTTGTTTAATTGGCGAAGATAAAGTCTCCTTCCCTCTCGTGTTGTACGATTGCAACTCGGCCGGCCTCGAGTGGGACGTGATGATTCTTGGTCACGCGTAATTCTCAAAGTTATCGTAAAAAGTACCGGGCACGCTCGTGCTAATGGCGAAAAAAGTATTATCAATGTTTCCTCGCTTTTATAATCCCCGCGTTTATTTTAGCAGCGGCCATCTGCGGGGCTTAATCGACANTTTTTCCCCCCCCCCCCCCCATAGAGATTGCCTCTGTAATGCAGTTTAAAACTCGAATTGTTTCTCACGGTGATCTGCAAAGTATCGGAAGAAATTTTCCCATAAATTGCAACTAAATGACGGCGGTAACCTCATTTCGCCCGATATCGACATGTTGCTCTCTCTCTCTCTCTCTCTCGCTCTCTCGCTCTCTACACGCCGAGGAACTGGGCTGGCGGAACGAAATCGAGTGACTGCTTATTAATTTCGCGTTCAAAGCGGTAAAAGTGGCGCGAAATGCAAATCGGCAAATGCAGACGGGACGAAATTCGATTGAGAGAGCGACTCGAGAGCGACGAACCGCCGTTTCATCATCAGACGCGCTTTATTGACAAAGGATCTTCGCATTACCCTTCGCAAATACTCGCGGTTTTCACAAACCCGAGAAGGCAACGCTATATCGAATCCTTTATTCCAATCGCTGTTTCCTTACATCTCTCGACGCGGAGAAATATTTATGCGCTGTATCGCGTTCGTCGCGATTACCGTTTTCCCTTCGCCAGCCGCCCGTTTTCTTCCTCCCTCCCTGTACCTTGAACTTGTACACCGCGTCGCATTTAACGCCGGCGATTAATACACGTGCACGTATGTTTGTTACAGCTAGATTAACGCACGTAATTATCGCGACGCAGTAACTCTAGGGAACCGCGAACGGTGACAAAATAAACACAAAACACAACAGCGATCGGAATGAATAATAAACAAGTAAACACGAACGAACTGATGTATGTGCGCGAGTTTGCTGCAATAATCATATCCGCGGAGCATGATTAGTTATTATTTGGTAATAACGCTAAATAAACGACGATTGCCGGCATCTATTGCCGTGGCCATAATTCCTCCCTACGCGGCGACATTTCTGCTCGCTCAACGCTCGATCGGTTTCGTTTGATCGGTTGCCGAAATGCGAATGATCGCCGGTACGGCAAGATTTCCGAAGAAAGCGCGAACGATTAGTCGTTGCCGGTCGGGAGAAAAATCAAACACCTTTACGGTTACTACATTCCCGAAGGCATTAAGTGTCGCTTAATGGCCGATAGTCGATACTTCGACATTCGCCCTCCTCTCATGCTTGCGATGTACGTGCTTGTAGATCGAAATGGATTGGCGTTAACACTTCCGGCAATTAGAAGCGGCGGCCGCTTCTTCGTTGCGAAGACGGGATAAATTGTCGCTCGAAAAGAATCGCGCGATTACGGAAGAGTCCGTAGTGTTTAGTGGCAGCCGCGAATTTTGGACCACGCGATGGAATTATCGGTAGGATAATCAGCGACTATCAATCCGCACGAGGAATTGATTAATTAATGTACCAATTGGGTGCTTTCCACTTAGTGACGTAAGTCGACACAAATCGATTTCTAGTGTTGCCTCTGCTTTCCATTTAACTTGTGCCACTATGTGCCGGTGACTCGAGTTAACTTCGATTAACTCCACTTTGGCCGTGAGTTGAGCGAATCTGAAGGGGGAGATGGGGGGGAAACAGTGGTTCAAACCATCAGAAGCGTGAATAATTCTCTATATACGGAATTTTCTATATAACGGAAAGCACTTAATGTCTCCCGAATCATCAATCTGTTGGTCTACGATTTGTCTATGAGACTTTTGTGAAATTCTTGATTGAAAAAGGAAGAAAATCATTTCTACGCACACGTTAAAATTACGATTATCATTTTAATACATTGACGGAGCATTATTAATAGATATTATTGTTGTACCGTGTATTACGGAAGCGATGTACACATTTTCGGCGAGCGGGCCAGCCCGCGATCCGCGGTAATCTTTCGGAGGAACGACGCCTATTTGAGTTTATTATTAAGCGCTGATGCATTTATACGCCGCATGTCACCGCAGGTACCGTCGGCAACATCTGATTATGTATGTATTACATGTAAATTAATTTTCCGTCCGCTTATTGGAATTGGAAATGTATTTCAGACCGACTGTGCCGAAAGATGACGATGATTGACGGCGGTCCGTTGTGCGTGCGCGCACAAACGCACGCGATATTAAATTCGTCACGTGTCTTCCATCGAGCGCGGGGACGCCAAACACCAGATAGCAAAATAATTACGCAATAGCTTTAATCAACGCGTCATCGCGAGGCGCGTACGTGCGCGAAGTTATTAAACAAATCAATATCCCTTCGCCGGTCGTCGCGAATTAACGTTTCGTTAGCGCGCGAAGCCGAGCGCGATAATTTCGCGCGAAATACATTCATCTAAAGTGATAGATGTCGAGAGATCGGCAAGTCCCGGGTAGGATAAAAAGAGTCGGTATCAAAAAAAAAAACGCTGCTCGCTCGTCACACGACACATTGTGTCGGTCCCGAGTAGACTGTAAGCTTTCACGCTTTACTCGCTGTATTCAATTGCGCAAAACGAAAAACTCACTTGTCCCTCTTTTTCCCCACTTTCATATCTGTACGTGGCGATTTCAGAGGCTCTTACCCTTCGCGTTTTTTTCTAACTTTCGCGTGCGACGTGTGCGCGAATGTTGTCTACAAATAAATAACTACCATCTCTCCGGCGCGTTCTTTCAAGAACCACCGTACCACGATTATCTGTATCCGACTTAGCTGACCTTATCGAGGCGTCTCGATGCAACAATCCGGATAGAGATTTAAGACGGGCGCTGAAAAGGCGTACACGATTTTTCTCCACTTCCGTCTAAACTCTACCCAGAAATATGCAATGCTCTTGTACGATTCAGAGCCGGTTTTGTAAATCTATCTGATAAGGCTCTGATCAGGCCTTGTGTGCCACAGGCCTTTTTAAAGGCACCCACATTGGTGACTATTCAGGACTTATTTACGAAATTCTATTCAGGATTTGCTCTTCCCAGGGCTCGCTTCGAGCTTAATTTCTACCCGGGAATTGGATTCGCGCGCGTTGAAAAATAAGAGAGACGGATGAGCCAAATCGAAAGCGGCTCTCCTCTTACATATCGACACAGGTTGAATTTTGTATTACTGAGCGCGAGTTAGATCGACCAGATAGACCGATGAACACACCAGCGGCGATGTATCTCCTCGCTTTGTCGGATGAGGGGAACCGCACGTCTCTCTCTGCCGTCCGAAGTCAAAACCGCTTTCGAGGCTCGCGGGAAGATAAATCGGCCGGTGTATCTGCCGCGCAGACATTCGGGCGTATGATAAGTCGACCGGGGGAAGAAAATGGGAGGGAAGTGTTTTGGCATCCATTGAAATTTATTGCGGTTTATGCAGCGCGCTATGGAGTATCGCACGCGTTTGCCCGCGCCGCGTTCTCGACAATCCCCCCTTTTGCCGGCATTTTTTCTAGCCTCCCTCGGCAACCCTTCCTCTGGTCCGCCACTTCCCCCCTCGCCGCGTCCATTCGCCCCCTCCTCATCCCTCCGCTGGCTCGTGTTCCGCTTTTTAGAAGATCTGGCGAATTTATGCATCACCTTCTCCTCCTCCCCCATCCTCCCCGTACCACCCCGCGGCCACGGCAACACGCCGCGACGATAAATATCCCCGTGACATCATCCTTATTGATCTCTGATAAAATGCGTTCTTTTCCGAGCGAGGAGAAAAAAACAATTTTTTTTCTCCTCCCCGATGCCGCAAAGCGGACCGCAAACTCGCGCGCGAGATTTACGTACTGTGCCGGGTCTCATTAGCGGAACGGCAACTTGAAACGGACGGTGATTTTTAGAGCCGGCCGTGCGATTCCCGACACGCACCTCCACCGAACGGAGGGATTGTTGCGATTAGGTGATCGGTGTGATTCGCGCGAGTGTGTGTGTGTGTGTGTGTGTGTGCATGTGTTTCGCCGACGATGCGAAAGGGTCCGTTCGAGTGGATCCAACACAGCCGGGAATATAACGAAGTGCCGTCTCCCATAGAATTACAACGATTACCACATTTGAACCCGGCACGCGCAACTTTCCGGTCGATGTATGATTTATATGTATATACATATGTGTGTTATATGTATATATATATATATATATATAATTTATAGAGGACATTAT